ACAATTGGTATGCGTACTTCCTCCTTTTCATGTTCTCTGTATGTATAAATATCTTCTGTCTGTGTGTTCCACTCTATGCATCTGAAGAAGTGGGCTGTAGCCCACGAAAGCTTATGCTGAAATAAATCTGTTAGTCTCTAAGGTGCCACAAGTACTCCTGTTCTTTTTGCGGATACAGACTAACACGGCTGCTACTTTGAAACCTAGTATTTAGTCAGTTGTCATGCTTTAAAAGAGATCCATTATATGACTTTTACATTAAAATTTGGATTAAAATCATGTTTCCTCTAATCTTATCCTGCTTGCTTTTGATTAGTTTTAAGAGCAGTTGATGGTCCTGTGCCTTGCAGTTTTTGCATTTTATATTTTGTGTACATGGTCCGGAATTTTATGTGAAATTGTAGGTTTGATCTTTGACCTCTGTTTACTATAATACTGATTTACCACTAATTTGATAGCAAGCCATAGGGGTCTAGTGTAAACAAGCTGCTCACTTTACATAGCCATGTTTGACTCGTAAGTGGAGAAGTATGTATGGAGTATGTGCAGGATACTGTAGTCTACTACAGAAATAATAAAAAACACATCACTGCTCAACTCCCAGGTAACATTTACATTTAGAGAAAATATGTTGCATGCCTATTAGGGAGAGAAAATGTATTTCTTATTCAACAAACAAATCTACAATGTTTTAGATTATTATTTAGAGTGTTGGAGAGCTCAATCCTGCTCCATTGAAATGAATGGGAGCTTTGCCATTGACTTTAAGCGGATCAGGATTAAGTCTAAATTGAGAGAGTAGAGAAGATAAAAACAAAAATGCAAAGGACCAAAATCTCTTTCACTCACAGTCCAGAGAGTAAAGGGCAAAAGCCTTCTCTGGGGTCTGTAAAACGTATCTCTGCTCCAATGCTCTTTTTTCCTTACATTGATAGACATCCCAAAGGGAAGCAGCTCGCAATCAATACTGTAGTTGAAATCAAACCAAAATGGCAGAGTTACCAAATGTAAGCCAGGCAAAAGTACAGCACTGATGACCTACACTACAGATTTCAAAGAGCATTATTCTTGGAAACGTTCTGCAGTACACTTGTGTTCTGTGCAGGATGTTTCCTCAGAACATTTAACTCTAAGTGGAATGACGTTTTACAAATTATTAAAAATAAAGTGATATTCGACTAATTGCAGCTGCTGGAAGGAGAGACTTTCTGCTATTGGCAGGTGGCAATTGAACTGAAATAGTTGAATATTACTCAAGTGAATTTGACCCTTCCTCAGACTGTAAGCTGGTATAATATAAAAAGAAGTTTGAGACCTATTACATATCCAATACCATCTTCAATTCTAAAAATCAGTGTAGTGTTAGAGCATAGACAAGAGGGGGTGAAATGGCTGGACCCTAGAATAATGCTTCCATCACTACTAGCATTGCACTGTACCAACAGCAGGAGAAACTCAGAATATGCTCAGCTACAGCGAGCCTGTCACCACCATAACAATAACAAGGAGTCTGGTGGCACCTTAAAGACTAACAGATTTATTTGGGCAAAAGCTTTCATGGGTAAAAAAAACACTTCTTCAGATGCATGGAGTGAAAATTACAGAAGCCGGCATTATATACTGACACATGAAGAGAAGAGGAAGATCACAGTCACATTTTTATTTCAAGTGATAAGCTGATGAGAAATGAGTGATCTATGACAATGGTCCTGTGCCTTGCAGGTTTATTTTGAGGGTCAATTCAATGTATTTTATGCCACCTCCAAATTTTCGTTATGCTGCCAATTCGTGCATTTTTGAAAATGGGGAACTGCATTGCAGAAATTATTGGCAGCTGAGATGGGGACCAATGTGGCTTTTGGCACCCAGGAAGGGGTTGGAGGTGGTTTTGGTTATCCAAGCAGATGAGGTTTTTGGCACTAAGCATGGGAAGCATCAACTCCTTCCCTCCCAACTTGAGGCAGAGACAGAGATAACTTTAAATATGGGAATAGGAGCTGGATTTGGATTTGTGTTCTCACCCCAGCAGCTGCTCCAACTGCTCTCTGGACCTGTATCTGCCATTACATCCAACAATTACAAACTGAAAATGACAAATAAGAACATTAGCTGGATGTTTCTGCTAAAATGATCTGTCTTGAAGTAGCTAATGTTGACATTTAAATTGTCCCTAGCCTTTTAGGTTAACAGAAGAATGGAGGCCATTCACAATTCTCCCACAGCTATTATTTCAACTCTTTCTAAACGCAGGCAAACATCAGTTGCATCAGTTTACATTCCATACCCATTTTGAAGGCTACTTTGCAACCATAAACCAAACTGCCTACAGACAATTTTTTTAAAATGCAAGCTTAGATTCCAGAGCACAATTATGCAACATTTTTAAATAATCTGCAATTATGCAGCCATTCACATAGCCATGTAATAGAGAAAAGAAGCTCCAGTAGAATGTACTTATTTATTCATATCTATAAGCATCCCGGAATTTACAAAGTACTCACGGGAATTGTTATCACAGGAACTGGTATTTCAAGTTAGACTGTACACATTGAATCACTGAAACAAGATGTTTCTTAGTATTGAATTATTTAACTGAATAAGTGGCTTTTAGAAATAGGGTCAATGAAGAATCAGTTTTAGGCTTGGACAATAGAAAACTAGTTTGTCTAGAATACTAGTATTGACTATGTTTGTTCTTACTGGCTGCTTGGAATAGTCTTCCTGTCATAGACCACCAAACTTCCTTTTTTTTTTTTTCAAATGCTCCTTCAAGCCCCCCTCTCTGTTCAGGATTTTGTAGCCCAACCCACTCAACCCTTGTAATATTGAATAATTTAACCTATGGAACAGGGCATCTCCTACATTTTCCATTATTGTCACGGCAAATCCCAAAGGAAAGTGACCTCCTTACAAATTGAACACCACCTGGACTGAACTCTGGCAAGATGCTTAAGGTAGCGTGGCCTGGTTGAGTATTTACTTCCCGTCCATTTGGCAATCTAGTCCTGCCACCGAAGCTTCTTGATGCCCACTGAGCACCAGCCATGAAGAGGCAATCATTGTTACACATGCTTGGAATTCATCCATTTTCCATCCTAATAATACCTCCATACCAAGAAAGCTACCAAAACTGAACCAGGGATGATGGAAGTAGTTGCTAGGTTCACCTTCAAATATCCTCATTTCTGACCACGTCCTGTCACTTGATTTGGGGCAGCTAATGAAGACAATATGAATCAGAAATATCAGTCTGGTGTTCTCCAGTCTGTCTTAGCACCCATAGTTCACCGCTATACAACAGAGTTAGTAAAACTATGGTTCTATAGCATGACATCCCCCCCAGAGGCTGCTGGCAGCAATTGCTTACATAGAAAAGTAGCAACAGGACAATCTGTATTTTATCTTTAGCTTAATGTATTCATGTGTTCTGTCCTTGCTGAAAGCAGCTAATCACACCTCTCTCTCCCCCTGCATCTGTCACCTGGGCTCTGCCCCGCCTTCTCTGCTGCTCAGTTCCCTTATACACGATGCTCAGTCACCTGCTGAAAGTTCATTTCCGCACCTGCTCCCCGGGACATATTGCCCAGCTGCCTAGTTCTCTTCACCCCTGCGTCTCTGGACCCTCCCTGCTGGTAGGTGGGAGCTCCAGTCTCACTGGGTGCTCTGGAACTAAACAATGAATCCTATTTCCTCTCCTCCAGCTCTGCAGATTGTGTTGTTGTATCCACCTGTTGGCTCTCATCTGAGATTTAGATTATATGCTCTTCAGAGCAGGGACTGTATTTTCATTATGTATTTGTACAGTGTCCAGCACAATGGGGCCCTGGTTGGGGGGCCAGAGGTGCTCTGCAATACAAATAATAAGTGCAGCCTGAATGGCCACCAGTGCCCATGTGTGTCCTACAAAAGATGTTTCAGAGGTGCACACTGCTAATAATGCTGCTGTCACTTGTATCTCTGGGAGCACTGCTCAGCAAAACAACAGTACCTGAGAAACAACATGGAATGAGGAAGGGATGCCAACCTCATTATTCCAAGAGTTTTCTCACAGTATACCTTCCTGGGCCATTTCACATAAATGAGGCCAACAAGCAAGATTTCTAGCCACAGCAGACTGTCAGATGGACAGTGTAAACAATAATTGCCCAAGGGTATCCAAGATTCTCTAGTTCTCCGATATTCATGTGTCTACAGAACTGTTCAGATTATGCTCAGTTACATTCTCTACAAATCCTAGGATGCAACAGCTCTGCCTTTGGTTCTCAATATAGAGCCCTCTCTGCTACTCTGTGAGACCATGTCTATCCTCCTGTGATTGTCAGCCCCCCCCAACCCTTCTTTCTTCATGATCCCCCAAATGTCCTCTCAATCCTTTAACTTCACTTCTATTCCCTTTTCCCACTACAGTGATCAAAATTTGTCCAGAGGAATTTCAGACTTCATCTTTAAAACCCAATGGACTAGTTTCCCCTTACAAAACCAGAGTTATTTACATTTTGTGCACACTTCATACACATACTCCAATTTAATCTCATTCATTCATGTACAAAACCATCCTACTGAAACTGAGTAGCCCTTTAAGAGGAAAAAAGTTGGGTGAACACATGCACCATCAAGTGTATTTGCTCTTGATTATTACTTACTATCCCATTGAAAAAGTTTCACTTGTCTAGTCACTGAGCAGAAATAATACCATGTTGTACAGGTGACTAATCAGACATTGCAAATAGGTGAAGTGACATCTTGAAAACAGACCCATCGGCTGAAATCTGTTCACATAAATTATTTGGAAAATACTTACAAATAATGAATAAGATCACAGAAATAACAGTCTGTGCAAATGACTCAGTACTAAAAAAGAGCTAAATTAATTGGATAGTTTATTTGCTATGAATAATCTGACCAGCCTAAATTATTAGAGTTAGTCAATGCTCAGTGGGTTGTGAAAGAGTTAAGCTAGCAGGCAGCTGATACAGAACAGGGGTAGGGCACTGGGACGTCAGAGGGGGAGAAATGGTCGGAGTGCTGTGCTAGGAGCAGTAAAGCTAGCTGAAAAATTCCTGCATTTGGCTTTATTGTTATGCTACCCCCTACAAATCTGTATAGGCAACAAAACAAGTCATAGCCCCCCCCCACCCCCATACACCTCCAAGTTCCCCAGTGTCCCAGCAGTAGCTCTCCTCCCTCCCCCGACTCTACATACACCTGTGCAATGTCCGGGCAGCAGTAGGTGCAGAGGAGTGTGTCATACAAGCAGAATTTCCTACTCCCAAACCGTCCCGAACCAGGAAGTGACTGTAAAGTCTTCACGCTCCTCTCCTGATAGCAACACGTCCCCGCCTGCTCATGGCACTGCCTGCAGCGGAGTCCCCCTGGGGGCACAACTGATGGCTGGAGAAATGCACATCCTGACCATATTAGACCATCTGCCCTGGAACTCCACCTCTGCGGAGCAAGGGGCCAGAAATGGGTCCCAATCCAACATTTGGTACAATACAAACAAGGTAAGCCAGGGAGTGTTTGACCCAGGAGGGTTTAGGAGTGGGAGTGCCAGACAGAACCAAGGAGAGGGGGAAGGAGAGCCCAGTGGAGTTTATTACAGGAGTTACTACAGTTTCACAGGAAGTTTATTTTTGTTACCTCATGTTACTTGCTTTAAAGAGCTACTCTTAAGCAATTTACACCTGCTTTTCATTAGTTAATTAATCAGCATTCAGCCTCCGCTCCCTTAGCTCTGGACACCCCTCTATCCCCAAAGCATAGGACACTGAAAGATGCAAGAAATATGCACTTACCAACCTTCACAAGGATAGACAAATGTTCTCCTATGATAGTTTAGGGTGTAGCTATTTTTTTAAGTGCCAACACTATGCTTGGTGCTGTATAGGTCACAAAATGGAGACCGGCCCTGCATTGTAGAGCTGACAACTTGTTAGTACATCTGCTAATAATAAAAAAGCTTTCAAGGCTGATTACATACCTTGGCCTCCTCCCTTTTTATGGATTCACAAACTGTGAAGTAATGGAGGTTAATAAACACGCTATTCTGTTTGGATGAGAATTGAGCTCCCTTTTTGTAATGCAAAGTTCTTAATCATTACTGGAGACAGTCTTTTTTACATTTGACTTGTAAAGAGCTACTACCCCTCCCCACAAAATGTTCCAACAATAGATCATACTCCCCTTGAGGGTCCCAGTAACTCCCTCCCCTCCCCTGATTCTGCATTCACCTGTTGGGCAGGTATCCTGGCAGCAGTTAAGATAGAGGCATGTGTCAGACAGACAGTCTCCTACTCCCAAACCAGTGAGTGACTGTGAAGTCTACACAATTCTCTCCTTTGAGTAACTAGTCCTCTCCAGCGCTGGTTGTGTCTGGTATTGCTTGTGGCAAGACTGCAGCGCTTACCCAGGAACTGGGCAAGTGAGAGCCAGAACTTAAGTGATGCCTGATGATGGCAAAGAGATAGACATCCTGAATGCCATAGACCAGCTATCAGGGAACTACACCTTCAGGGAACAGGGGGCTGGCAATGGATCGTTGTCTGACTTCTGGTCCAACACAGGCAAGGTAAACAAAATGACTTGCAAGGTAGGAGGGAGTTCAAGTGAGTTTATTTAGAAGCTAGAACCCAGGAGCCCAACTGAACTTGCTGAGCTACGCAGGGAAGGTAGTGCAGAGGAACTGCTGCTGTGACACAAGGAGTCACCAAGGGCTTATAATAGGAGGCTACTCTGTTTTACTCTCTCTAATGCCCAGTCCTGCTTTTGTTTTTTTAGGGGATGGTTATTTAAGTATAACTGTTGTTGTTATTGGTTAGATAAAAGATGTCAGTACTCTTGGAGTTTTGAACTGTTTTGTGGAACATTCTATCACTTTAATTTGAACACCAGAACATGCTCTTTGGGAAAATACTTATTCTTTCTGTAGTCCCAGTTTTACAAGTAAACTGAGGAACAAAGGAAATAACAGTAGCTAGATCTAGGGTTGTGGGGACAGTGTGTGTGTGTGTGATATATATAATATTAAAAAAATAAGACTAACATGATGTATGCCCATCATTGGCCTGATCCCTCTGCTTGTGTATCTTAGCCCTTTCCCACACCTTTCACCTGTCTATTTAGGCCACAGTTGTACAATGAGAAGTATGGACGTGCATCCCTGTGCACATGGAGCCCACTGAAGTCTATGGAGCTTGGTGTGCAACTCCTTGCAGGAGCAGGCCTTGGATCGTATTCTTTTTGCTGCAGGGACTGGATCTTCCTGTGTGTTTGTACTGCACCTAGCACAATGGGGCCCTGATCCTGATGGGGGCTTCTGGGCAGGAGCACAGTTAATAAGAAATAATGCTTATCAAGATATGGGTATTGTGAGGCCTAAACAATGGTATGTAAAGCATTTTGAGGTCTTCTGATTATATCTCCCAGACTTCAGTTCCCAAACTGTTGACCTTTTTCCCTTTTCAGCTTGCCTCTTTGGAAGTATTGAAACTATTTCCTGTTTCCTTTTTTGGAAAATGGATAGTCCCAATTTTGTTTGTGGACTGATGTCCTTTTTCAGAACCTCATGGGGCGAACCCTGAAGGCAGGTGATCTTTGACCATGTATAACAAAAGTATAGGAACCTTTTGTTTTATAGAGAAGTGAATGATAATGGCTGAGGCAGTTTATTGTTAGTTTAGAAAAGTCCATCGAGACAGAATCATATGTTCTCACATTTTCCCTGTGTCTGCCCTGTACTACACATTGTTACATACTGACATGTTTAATAATGGATTCAAAATGGATTAAATATGCATTTAGTTACCTGTAACATTGCTTGACAAACTATTGTCACCTTTTGGGAACTTGTGACTTATTGCAGTCATTCCCAAACTTTTTAGTAGGGCAACCCACCCACTGCATTTGTCTCTTTTTTTGTGTGTGACCCACCCAGGGTCCACATTCATGGGGGTGGAGGCAAAATCATAGGCCAACATCTTCATCTTCTGTTGCCACTTCCTTCTCGCTCCACCACGGGGCATTGACCGCCCTCAGTATCACCTTCCACCCTGGGGGAGGGAAGCCGCGATCGGCAGCACTTCGGCGGCAGCTCCACTGCACCACTTTCTTCTTTGGCAGCAGGTCCTTCCCTCTGAGAGGGACCGAGGGACCCGCCGCCGAAGAGCTGGACGTGCCGCCCCTTCCCCTTGGCCACCCCAAGCACCTGCTTGCTGTGCTGGTGCCTGGAGCCGGCCCTGATTGCAACCCTAATCCCTACCTAGTATATGTGTGTGTGTCTGTGGCCGGGGGAGGCTGGAGAGCGAGCACACCCCATGTTCACCCTTACCCCTGTCCCACACCGCTGGGCCTGGCTTCCCACTCTGGGCATTGCAGCCTGGGCACCCCCAGAAATTTTTCACGTGGTACACACAATTGAACCATTCTCATTTTCACTTGGCATAGCGTCTACACACACTCTTTTATCTTACATTGGGCACAATGCAGCTATGCCAAACTCCCTTCTGTCCACCTCCCACGCTCTCCGTTGCCCCTCTGCCAGTCGGCTCCCTTCTGTGGGCACTCACCATAGTTCCCCATACTTGTAGCATGTCTTCAGGCTGTCACTGAACAAGTCCTGCAAGCAGAGCAAAGGGGACATGGGGTGCTGGAATTGGGGTGAGGCCAGATAGGGCCCCAGGAGGGAGCCTTGGTGCAGGAGCTGGCCCAACGACAGCAGCAAGGAGGAACAGCGCTGCCTGCTCAGGTTTGGCCTTATGGCCCTGCATCATGACGGGGGGCACCAGGGCTAAAACTGAGTGAGTGGCATTGCAACCTGGTGCACGAGGGTCACAACACTGCTCAGATTTGGTCTCGTGGACTCTCCATCATGGGGGCCAATATTCTTGCCGGCAAGTTGAAGAAGTATGGGCTGGATGAATGGACTATAAGGTGGATAGAAAGCTGGCTAGATCGTCGGGCTCAACGGGTAGTGATCAATGGCTCCATGTCTAGTTGGCAGCCGGTATCAAGCGAAGTGTCCCAAGGGTTGGTCCTGGGGCCGCTTTTGTTCAATATGTTCATTAATGATCTGGAGGATGGCGTGGACTGCACCCTCAGCAAGTTTGCAGATGACACTAAACTGGGAGGAGTGGTAGATATGCTGGAGGGTAGAGATAGGATACAGAGGGACCTAGAAAAATTAAAGGATTGGGCCAAAAGAAATCTGAGGTTCAACAAGGACAAGTGAAGAGTCCTGCACTTAGGACGGAAGAATCCCATTCACTGTTACAGACTAGGGACCGAATGGCTAGGCAGCAGTTCTGCAGAAAAGGACCTAGGGGTCACAGTGGACGAGAAGCTGGATATGAGTCGACAGTGTGCCCTTGTTGCCAAGAAGGCTAATGGGATTTTGGGCTGTATAAGGAGGGGCATTGCCAGCAGATCGAGGGACGTGATCATTCCCCTGTATTTGGCATTGGTGAGGCCTCATCTGGAGTACTGTGTCCAGTTTGGGGCCCCACACTACAAGAAGGATGTGGAAAAATTGGAAAGAGTCCAGCGGAGGGCAACAAAAATGATTAGGGGGCTGGAGCACATGACTTATGAGGAGAGGCTGAGGGAACTGGGCTTATTTAGTCTGCAGAAGAGAAGAATGAGATGGGATTTGATAGCTGCTTTCAACTACCTGAAAGGGGGTTCCAAAGAGGATGGATCTAGACTGTTCTCAGTGGTACCAGATGACAGAACAAGGAGTAATGGTCTCAAGTTGCAGTGTGGGAGGTTTAGGTTGGATATTAGGAAAAACTTTTTCACTAGGAGGGTGGTGAAGCACTGGAATGGGTTACCTAGGGAGGTGGTGGAATCTCCTTCCTTGGAGATTTTTAAGGTCAGGCTTGACGAAGCCCTGGCTGGGATGATTTGGTTGGGGATTGGTCCTGCTTTGAGCAGGGGGTTGGACTAGATGACCTCCTGAGGTCCCTTCCAACCCTGATATTCTATGAAATGTGAGTGGACAGTGGGGCACACAGGGCTGCTCCTCTTTACTGCTGCTGTTGAGCCGGCTCCTGCACCAGTACCTGAACCAGACCAGTTGGAGCTCAGGTTGGGCCCCCCAATGAATTTGGCCCTAGGCATGTGCCTAGGGCCTTGGCTACACTTGGCAATTCACAGCGCTGCCGCGGCAGCGCTATGAAGCGCAAGTGTCACGCCGCCAGTGCTGCGAGAGCTGTCTCGCAGCGCTGCAAGTACTCCACCTCTCAGAGGGGAATAGCTTGCAGCGCTGTGAATGAGCGTGCAGCGCTGCAGGTGCTGATTACACTGGCACTTTACAGCTCTGCACTCGGCGGGGGGGGGGGCGTTTTCACACCCTTGAGCGCAGCAAGTTGCAGCACTGTACAGCGCCAGTGTAGCCAAGGCCTAGGTTTCCTATGCCTTAATCTGGTCCTGCAAATGGTACGCACCCTGCATAATGTGCATACATTTGGGGGTACCAGTGCACAGCACCAGTCAGGTTTGGCCCAGTCAT